TCAACAATGAAAAAAATAAAAGTGACAAAAAATAACAATGAGGAAAGAATAACAACGATAACAACAGAAATAATAATAATAATAACAATGATGATAATAATAGTAATAATGGTAATGATGATGATGATGATGATGATGATGATGATGATGATGATGATGATGATGATAATGATAATGATAAAACAATAAAATAATGATAAGAATAATAATATGATAATAATAATAATAATAACAATAATAATAATAACAATAATACGATGATGATGATGATGATGATAATAATAATGATAATAAAATAATGATAATGGCAATAATAATAATGATAATATCAATAACAATCATAATCACAACAATAATAAAAATCATAATAATAATAATGATAATCATAACAATAATATAATGATGACAATAATGATGATACAAAGATTATAAAAAATAACAAAGATTATAAAAAATAATAATTATAATTATCATCGTTATTATTACTATCATTATTATTGCCATTCTTTTTATCCTCACTATCCTCAGCCATACCTGTATTTCCCACGAACTTCATAATACTTTACTCATCAATGTTAATCAAACACTGCCATCTAAAAAAACTACTCTGATTAAGGAGCTCATTAACGCCCCTTAGAGCAACGAGAACATTAATTATAACTTAGTGGCGTTTTTTTTTCCTATTCATCTTTACGTCATAACATATTTTCTAACAATTTTGCTCATTTCAATCTTATTTAATCCGCTTCATCATCTTGCAAAATGACCCATCAGTTCAGATCCTCAGAATTTTCGCAATTTAGAATTTCGTTTCTCGTATTTTAGGATTTTATTTCTCTGGTGAAGTTTTTTTTTTCTTCTACGACACAAAATGAGATATTTAGGACGTGCACTGTGTACTATTTTTTTCTGCTGAGGAATGGAATTATGCAGTTAATTAGTACTTGTGTAGGAAGTGATCGAGGTAGTTGATTAATTCTAATGGATTTACAAAAAAGGAAAGAAAAAAAGTGTACGTTTTCGACTGTCGACGGAACCAAAGTCGTTATACACAGAATTTGCGTGAATTAGTCCTGTTTAATTCAGAATATATAACTGGGAAACGTCAATAGCATATCTTGCATTGCTGAATTATATTCCATTCCTGCTCGTAAGTATTCTGCATTTGTCACAAGAAGTTCTGCATTTGTCACAAGAAGCTATTGTTTTCATGCACAAGATGTGAACATCTTGTGATTAAAACATCTGCATAAGTCAAAAGTATTTCGCTCAGATGTAAATCAGTATATAAACACAACAATATAATAACATTAATAAAAAACAGACAAAAAAAAAAGACCCGTTTATACAGTATTTGCCAGCCGAAGGTTAATCGCACCGCGCAGTGTGAAGCGCTTGAACCTGTGTCAGTCATAGTTCATGGAGATAGATTCGGAACAATTGCTATTCGATTCACACCCGAGACACCAACGTGGAGAGGGAAACCCCATCGCGACCCCACCATGACCTTAATTGAGTTACAAAGAGAGAAATACAGATAGACAAGGAGAGGGAGGGAGACTTGGAGAGAGGGAGGGAGGAAGAGATGTAAGGAGGGAGTGAGGAAGAGAAGGAAGGAGGGAGTGAGGAAGAAAACGAATGAGGGAGAGTTGGATAGAAAAAAAATGGGAAAGGGGAAGGAAAAAAGAAAAGAAAGTAAGAGATAAAAAGAGAGAGGAGAGAGGAGAGGAGAGGAGAGTAGAGAAGAGAGAGAGAAAGAGGAGAGAGAGAGAGAGAGAGAGAGAGAGAGAGAGAGAGAGAGAGAGAGAGAGAGAGAGAGAGAGAGAGAGAGAGAGAGAGAGAGAAAGAGAAAGAGAAGGAGAGAGAAAGAGAAAAAAAGAGAGAGAACGAGAGAGAAGAGAGAGAGGGAGAAGGAGGAGAAGAAGAAGAGAAATAGAGACAGAAAATGTAAGTGAAAAGGGAAGAGAAAGAGGGAGAAAAACAAAGAGAAAGGACGCCCCTCGACCTCTGTCAGCTCGAACGTGACGGGGACCAAGGCAATTCAACGGGGTTTTAGAGCATTGTCGCTGTGTTCTTGATTTATCCTTTTGACCCCTGAGTCAGGGCCGAGGAAACGGTTCTCGTCCTCGTCTTGCAAGACATCCAGGAAGAAGTAAAAGTGTATAGAGTTGTTTATCATCCTCCTTACGTGTGCTAAATTTAATAACGCTCGTAATAGCACTATTGACGATATATTGTTGACTTTACTATCGCTTTCGTCATCATTGCTTATAATACTACATATATCAAAGGGCGAGGCTGACCCTGTCACCTGTACAGATTATGACGAGTTGAAAATGATGGAAGAAATACAGGGGATCTCTGTTAATACACAAATGCTAAGAAATTGCTCTGCTGAATGTCACATTAGCTTTGTAAATTCTTACATACCACTAACGCATTTGCTTTGTTTTGCACAGCCCGAAAAATCAAAGGGAGGCCATAGGTTCTTAAGAAAATTATGAAAGTCTACGCTGTAGTAACACCACTTTTGGCAGACTGCATGAGAAAGAAGATTGGGGTTAGTATTTTCTTTATTTGCATTTTTACTCTGGGGCATTACTGGCAAGGCATGCTGTTGGCTGTACAGGCAATCCACCAGGAAGGTATCATTCAATCGGACCTGAAGCCTACCAACTTTCTGCTTGTAAATGAGACTGTAAAGCTGATTGACTTTGGTATTGCATCTTCCATTCAGCAAGACATGACAAGTGTGATTAAGGATAGTCAGGCTGGAACCTTTAATTATATGAGCCCAGAATCTTTGTTGGATGTGCATTCAGGCCCAATTATCAATGGTCGTTCTGGGGACCGTCCAACTATTAAGATTGGTGTGAAGTCAGATGTTTGGTCATTAGGTTGTATTTTGTATAATTTGGTATATGGCCGTACACCATTCCAGCATATAAGCAACCCCCTGCAAAAGCTGTCAGCAATCTCTGATCCTAATACTAAAATAAACTTCCCCGAAATTGAGAATAAACTCTTGTTAGAGGTGTTGCAGCTGTGCTTGCAATTTGATCAGCGAAAACGTCCTAGCATCTCAGAGTTGTTAGAACACCCATACCTAACAGCCAAGCCAGGGGAAGGTGAAACTCCAGAAAAGGAACCGCGCCTTAAGAACATGCTACAGCAACTGTCGCAGCTCACCCCAAATAGCTTAAGTAAAATAACTTCGATGATGCAACAGATGCAGTCAGATACCAAGCCAGAGTTCTAAATATATTTACTGGAGGAGTTTCCCACCAATATTCTGTAAATAGGCTAACACAAATATATAACCTAGAAGTGATGTATGTATATATATATTCTGAGATTTTTTTTTACAGAGTTTTAGGCCTTTTTATTTACTAGTTACGGACTAAAGTAGAAAGTATAGCATTGCTTATCAACCATATAATGAATGTACTTTAGGTTGAAGGGATAAAGAGCAGCAGCTTTGAGATGTATTCATTTGCTTGATTAAAATGGTTCAGTTTTATGTTCTGACACTAGAGATGGCATAGAACAGGTCTTTGTAAATTCTTATGCTTTCTGGTGGCAAGAAAAAAAGTAGATATGCTCAAATTATTTGAAAGCCAGATTAGAGTGATGTTCTTTTTAAACTGTTTGTTAATAAAATAGGTAATTATATATATCTTTTCCATGTGGACAAAATTAAATATTCTGTAAAAAAAGAGGAAATATTTTCTTGATTCTTGATTCTTGATGCACGAGAAAACTATGACAAAAACATTCGGATCACCTAGAGTGTGAAGTAGATATAACTATATGATAATATTATTTAATTTGGTACAAGACGTGCTCATACCCTAAATTTGTAATGTGATACTGAACTGTCACATTTAGGCAGTTAGCCTGGATGATAAATAAAAAGATCAAACAAAAAAATGTAAATTTTTGATATATTAGGAACTCAATGATGCTCCTGTTAAACATCATCTCGCCGCAATGACAGCTTAGTGAAAAACGAAATCGTGTCATTTTCACTTAGAATTGATCACAAATGGGCTTTAACTGTGTTTCCATTTACTCGTTTGAAACACATGAAAGGCGAAATAAATCGATTTCATTCTTTGATCGAAGTCCGCATCTACAAAATTGTAAAATGAAAACAGATGGCAATATATACTGTATGTATATATATATATATATATATATATATATATATATATATATATATATATATATATATATATATATATATATATATATATATATATATATATATATATATATATATATATATATATATATATATATACATTATATATATATATTGATGTGTATACATATAAATATATATATACATATATATATACATTATATATATATTGATGTGTATACATATAAATATATATATACATATATATACAGACATACATATATAGATAGATAGATATACGTATGTGTATGTATATATGTGTGTGTGTATATATAGACAGATATAGAAAGATGGATAGATATACCTGAAGATTGAACTCATGTGGATTACGGAACTAGTTTCATTTTCAAAAAATCTAGTTTTACATTATGGGTTTTCTAATATAGTATCAACACGGAAGCGTAGTTTACCATTCATTCTTCATAGATATGTGTATATATGCATATATATACATATATATATACATATATGTGTATAGAAAAAGAAATATATATATATACATACATACACACACACACACACACACACACACACACACACACACACACACACACATATATATATATATATATATGTATATATATATGTATATATACATATATATATATATATATATATATATATATATATATATATATATGTGTGTGTGTGTGTGTGTGTGTGTGTGTGTGTGTGTGTGTATGTATATGTATGTATATGTATGTATATGTATGTATGTATGTATGTATGTATGTATGTATGTATGTATGTATGTATGTATGTATGTATGTATATACTATAAATATGTTCTGCATTCGTCCCCATACATTCTCAATAAGCCCTTAGCCAAGGACGCTCCCAAGCTACGCTCGCTATGCAGATATGAATGAGAAGTCCCACACGTCTCCACAACATACTTTATAACCATGTTCATTCTCCAGACACACTGATAGCCATGCAGCTGTAACCTCCATAGGAGACTGCTTTCAAAATTCCTTACTTTGACACGCAATTATAAGCATAATACATGTACCTTACCTGTGTGGACTGGGTACATGCTTCCCCAGTCCTCCCATATTTTCCACATATATACTAAATATAAATATCTTCCATTGCTGAAATATAATACTGGCAGACTTTCCTTGGATAAATCCATTTGTTCGTATGAGGTCAGACAGACAAAATATGCAGATAAGCAGTGGTATGACTTCCTGTTGTAAAATATTCTACATGACATCACGTTCCCAACGAGTGTGTTGTAGCATATGCAACAGAATTGTCCCTTGTTGGGTAAAGCGTGAGGAAGGCGTTAATTATATCATCTTATATATACCATGGAATATGTTTCTTTGTTGACAAGTGTATTGTTGCGTGATGCAGCGCGTGTTCCCAGCACCACAACTATCGCCACCACATGGCGAAGCAAAAGCAGCATTTTCTTCCCTCTCATGTTTCCCGAGTACCAGTTTAGGGTGGTAATGAGGTCTCGTTAAGCGAGCAAATTGGTGAGCCAAGGTATTGGCTGCGGTCCCGTCCATGCTGCCCTGCACCTGGGTATTCATAGCCTCGTCTTCTTAGTATAGAGTGAGTTAGTTATAGGGTGTAGCGGGGACACCGCTGCTAAGTCGCAACATATCACTTGAGTCTATAACAAATGGTTATTAGCTCGGGGTTCTCAAAACAAACAATGCCAAGATAACGACATCTGAGGGAGGAGGAAAGAGAGGTATGGAGCGTGTGTGTGGGGAAGGAGGGTCGTTAGGTCGTTCACCGCGTTAATGTCTGTGTTATGATGGCTCGTTAAAGTAAAGAGCGTCTCATATTGCATCGCGACAATTTACGGCGGGTTGGAAATGGAGGATTATCACGGCTAATTCGTTCATTAGAATATATTAATGTTAGAAGACATAAATTTTGTGTTTGGGTTAGGGAATGTGCTCAGGTGGCGTGAGAGTGTGAGTGAGAGTTGAGAATGATATACACCCGGGTGTTCATAATGAGTATATTAGATGACAGAGGAAAGTGGATCGGTAAATGGAATAAAAACATGTAATTTAAGGTAATAGACTTTAAATGAGTCAAAACTTAAAATGGATAATGTAACTTCATAAAGGGAAATTCCTCCGCCGAATAAAAGAAATACAGAGATTCCACCAGCTCGTTAACCGGTTTTGTCGAGCTGTTAACCAATGGCAACAGGTAGGCTGAGGTTCGCCCGACCCTCGTAGTAATACAGTGAGTGGAGTCTATTAAGCAAGAATTAGTTAGAATCACTTCTGTGAATTCCAACATTAGGCGATGTCCAGAGAAGGCGCTTGTTTGTGTTCGACCCGAGGGGGCACTTACCTCTAAGTGTAATTCCGAGCTACGGTGAGATGACTATGCTATGAACAAAATTAACTGCGTCTTATTTAGAGAATTGAAATGTGAATCTGAATTAATGTATGGTGACCAAAATGAAGCACAAAACCGAAGATGTGCCACAGTATTACGTAACTATTCATAAAGGAAATAACGAAATTATGATCTAGTATGACTGAACATTAATAGCGAAAAGATACTAGATGAGCATTACCAATGTTTACCATTATATGGAAAAACACCAGCATTCAGATTGAATACTGCATTATCTGTATATGTTTTCTCAGAAGTAATACGCATATGTGTACATTCACCTTTTAACAGAGAGAGAGGGAGGGAGAGAGAGAGAGAGAGAGAGAGAGAGAGAGAGAGAGAGAGAGAGAGAGAGAGAGAGAGAGAGAGAGAGAGAGAGAGAGAGAGAGAGAGAGAGAGAGGAATAAGAGAAAAAAAAAACATAGATTCATGAATTATCCAAAACATGACCACAATATTTTCAAAAATATAAACATGTTTTGCGTGCGTGTGTATAATAGTAAATCACTTGATGCACGAATCAGTTACGTGAAGCTTCTGCTCAGTGTCCACTTTCAAATATATATGTGTGTGTGTGTGTGTGTGTGTGTGTGTGTAATATATGAATATATGAATGTATAAGTATATTTGAATGTATGTATCTATATTCATACTCATACAATTCATTCATTCATTTGCTTCATTCATTCTATCTAGTACATATATATTTTTGCATGCGAGTAGCGAACTAGCGAACTGCTGTAGTGTACGTACTCGCATGGAAAAAATGGTTGGTGAAGTAAACATTCTATAAATAAATAATGGACCTAAATAACAGCCATTTGTGAAGTTAAAGCTCTATACAACGCCCACTTTAGACGATTTATCGCCCCTTCAAATTCTTAGTCACCTCTGTGCCTTCTTGGAACAACCATCGCGCCTCAGAGAAGCGCTGGCACACATATTGAGAACCTTTTATATAGTACCTATAATGAATGAAACAAATTAATGAATGAAATGTATATACATGTATGGATATATAGATACATACATACATACATATGTGTGTGTGTGTGTATGAGTGTGTGTGTGTGTGTGTGTGTGTGTGTGTGTGTGCGTGTGTGTGTATGTGTGTGTGTGTGTATATATATATATATATATATATATATATATATACATTTATGTATGTATGTAGTATGTTATATATATATATATATATATATATATATATATATATATATATATATATATATATATATGTGTGTGTGTGTGTGTGTGTGTTTGTGTGTGTGTGTGTATTTGTTCTTTCTATTATTATTACTATTATTATCGACATTATTACTATTATTTTACTATTATTATTATTATCATTATTATCATCATCATCACCATTATTATCATTATTATTATTATCATCATTATCACCATTATCATTACTACCTGTGCTGTAACTTTCCTTGTGATTCACCCCTTCGTTTGCACGTTCCGTCTGAATGAAATAGTTAGACCGTCATTGTATGTACATTCATTACTTACACAATTATCCAGAGAAGGGGGGGGGTTAAGAAAGAAGGTGGGAGTAGAAGGGGGAAACGATGGGAGAAAAGAAATGAAGGAGATGGAGAAAAGGAGGTGAAGGGGAAAGGAAGGGAGAGAAGAAAGGGGACTTAAAGAAAGAGGGGAGGCAGAAAAAGGGGAGGCTGAAAGGGAAAAGGGGGACTGGGCAGAGGAAACGGAGGGGGACTTAGGGAGGCAAAGGGCATGGGTAAGGGGAA